GAGCCGGTAACAAGTCTTAAAATGGCTTTGCCAGAACTTGAATTCCGGGATCAGTTCAGGAGCAGCACTGTCCTGCTTACACTCTCCAACCCACCCTCACCTGTCCCCAGCCAGAGTGAGGTCACTTCTCTGCCTAGATATTTCAGATAGCTTTGCAAAGCACCCAGGATGAGATACAACTCCCCATTGTGCCCACCAAGGCCTGGGCTGTCTCACCCTTGCCTGGCTTTCCAGACTGGCCTCAGGCTGCCCCCACCTGGTTTAGTCTGTCCAGCTACCCCGCCTGCCCTTCCAGTCCTCTCCATACGCTAAGCTCCCTTCTGCCTCAGGCTTTGAACTTGCTGTTCTGTCTGGGACACTCTACTGCCAAGTCAGTCCATAGCTTGTGTCTTTCCTCACTCAGGTCTGGGCTCCAATCATCAGCTCCTCAGAGCAGCCTTCTTCTTGACTGCTCTGTTAAAGAAGCCCGCTTCTAGGCCAAGGGTGGCTCACGCTGGTAATCTTAGCACTCTGAGAGGCTAGGTGGGTGGATCCCTTGAGCTAGGATGCCAGGACACTCTACCCAGAGTGCCAAAGTGAGCCTCTGTCTCAAGAAAAAAGAAGCTGGCTTCTATTCCGCATCTAACAGCAAATTGTGACATCTTATGTATTTGCTAGTTTATCTATTTATTGTTTGTCCTGACTAGATTGTAAGCCCTATGAGGATAGGATTATGTCCATTTACTCACCTATGCCAGTTTGGAACACGGTAGACACTTAAGGAATATCTGTTCAATGACTAACACCAGTGGAGTCACACAACATAACAGGTAGCAGCTTACCCACTGAATTTCCGCATTTTCTTTTTTTATTTTGAGATAGAATTTCACTCAGTCACCCTGGGAAGAGTGCCATGGCACCCTAGCTCACAACAACCTCAAACTCTTGGGCTCAAGAGATCCTGTTGCCTCAGCCTCCCGAGTAGCTGGGATTATAGGTCCCACCACCACGCCTACCTAGTTTTTTCTACCTTTAGTAGAGACAGAATCTCACTCTTGCTCAGGCTGGTCTCCAACTCCTGAGCTCAGGCAGTCCACCTGCCTCAGCCTCCCAGAGTGCTAGGATTACAGGCATGAGCCACTGTGCCCAGCCAATTTCCTCATTTTCTGATGAGGGCCCAGATTCAGAAAGGTAAAGTGACTCACCCAAGGCCACACACCTAGCTATCAAGAACAACATAAGAGGCTCGGGTCCTATAGCTCAACCGGCTAAGGCACCAGCCACGTACACCTAAGGTGGCGGGTTCGAATCCCCAGCCTGGACCCGCCAAACAACAATGACGGCTGCAACCAAAAAATAGCCGGGCGTTGTGGCGGGCACCTGTGGTCCCAGCTACTTGGGAGGCAGAGGCAGGAGACTCGCTTGAGCCCAGGAGTTGGAGGTTGCTGTGAGCTGTAATGCCAGGGCACTCTACCCAGGGGGACAGCTTGAGGTTCTGTCTCAAAAAAGAAAAAAAAAAATAAGAAGAACCTTTCACCTGTCACCTCTCTCCTGCCCTGCCCATGGCTCTGGCCTGCCCAATCTTGACCACCTCTGAGGGCTCAGTTTACCTGCTCCGTGGAGAAGCTGGTTCCTCTCTATCTCCAGGCCCCAAATCTGGGTCTCTTCACCCCAGGTCCTAATTCCTGCACTTCCCAGAGCTGACCCAGCTCCACACTCCTGCTCCCAAGGGTGAGGACAATGTGACCTACCTTCTGGCAGACAAGGTCACAGCTTAAACCCTCATTCTCCTACCAATGAAGCCAGGGCCTGGGCACAGGGAGAACAAAGCCCTATATCACAGGCACCTGTGCAGGCCCCTGTGGACATTCTCTTCAAAAGAGTCTTGTTAACAACTATTTTTTGAGGCCTTCTATGTGCTGGCACTATACAGGGAGGAGGCAGCCAGGTCATTGCACGGAGCCTCCACCAAAGTCTTCCAGGACTTCTGGAGAATCAAGGCCAAATTTCCTATGGCAGCTTTGTGGGTCCTTGACACAACAGACCTTGTTGCTCTTGTTTCTTACCCAGCTTCCCATTCCTGCCCCTATTGACTAAACTGAGGGAGGCCTTTCCTGCCCTCTGCGCCTCCATCCTGCCCAGCATGCCCAGCATCTCATGGTGCCCTGTGTTCCATTCTGAGCTCCTCACTCAGAAACACTGACAAACAACAGTGAAGCAGTGAAAAGGCTGGAAACTCTGCCACAGCAAGAATGACTGAAGGAATGGAGGTCATCCTGCCTGAATAAGAAAATAATTAATGGAACGTTGGCACTGTGCCTAGCTGCATAAATGCTGAATGAAAAACAAAACAGCATTCCTTAAATATCTAAGGGGCATCACATGGCAAGGACGCTGATTTCTTCTGCTTTGTCCTTGGGTGGTGGGGCAGGGAGAGGAGAGGAGCTAGTTTAAGGTTGCAGGAGGCAGAGTTTTACTGGACAAGAAGAACTTCCTAAGAGGTCCAAAGTAGTCGGTCTGCACTGCGCCATGCTAGAGATCAGGGCTCCCAGACCTTTCTGGCTCTGAAGACACAAAGGCCAGGGGGGCAGGAGGACCCATAACACACCACAGCACAGAGTGACAAGGGCATAAGGAAGACTTTGGAGGCACCATGACTGAAGAACAGTGGAAAGGATTTGGGGACGGAGAAGGTTTCCAGTAAGATGACCACACGAGGACTTCAGGAGACAGCCCCTCCCCTGGTGGCTGAGGCCTACTACCCCTCTACGCTGCCCCACCACTGCTCCAGCACTCAGCAGCTCACAGCCAAACCCGGGTCAGCCACATTTCCCCCTCCATTACCGGATTTACTTTTTTTTTTTTT